TGAGCTGGCGGATAGAGAGGCAAAGGAAGTGGCGAAAGGTGAGGTAATTACTGAAGTAGCTCTAATTCCAGAAGGACAAATTTTCCTTGAAGGTAAACCAGAATATAGTAAGAAAGACAGAAAACTAATCAAAGATCAAAAAGGGACATACAAACAAGAAGGGTGGGCTACCATTGAAAGGAAGCTGGTAATCCCTTCCTATTTGTTGTGGTCACTAGTAAGGGAGGAGCACCAGAAAACACACTGGGGAATAGAGGGCCTGTACACCTTTCTGATTGAAAGAATCATTGCCAGGAATTTATATGTCACTATTACTCAAGTGATCTGACAGTGCGATCTTTACCTCCAGACTAACCCCAAGAATACCTCCAGACCAAAACTTGGTCAGATTGGGAGGAGCCATGGGCCTGGACAGAAGTGGCAAATTGGCTTTTCAGAACTCCCAAGGAAAGGGTGGGTATTGGTATTTATTAGTATTGACAGATATATTTTCAGGGTAGCCAGAAGCGTTCCCCACCAGAACTGTCAAGGCTCGAGAGGTGACCAGGGTATTATTACAAGAAATAATACCACACTTCCGAGTTCCAGCCACAATATCCTCAAATAGAGGGTCACATTTCATTTCCAGAATAGTGCAAGAGATTAGTAGCCATCTGGGCAGAGATTGGGAACTTTACACTCCATACCACCCCCAGTCGAGCAGCCAAGTGGAGAAAATTACTCATTTGATTAAGCAGCAGATTGTAAGACTGGGGCAGGAAGTTAATCTACCCTGGCCCTAAGCTTTTCCACTGGAACTCTTGTGAATTCGAACTAAACTTAGAACTAAAGAAAGGCTGAGTCCCTTTGAAATGCTTTATGGAAGACCATATGGAATACAAAAGGGAATGTCCACCCACACTGGGGAGGTAACATTAGCCAACTATGTGGTGGCTTTAATCAAACAGCTCAGAGAAATTGAAAAACATGTGTCTGGAACTTGGAGCAGGGAGCTAGATAGACCAGTACATAAAATACAGCCTGCAGATTAGGTATATGTTAAGCTTCTTACAGAAGAGACTTTGGAACCACAGTGGGAAGGACCACTTCAAGCGCTTCTCACCTCCTTCACTGCAATCAAGATCAAGGAGCAGAATGCCTGGATCCACCACTCTTGAGTGAAGAAGGCCCCAGAAGCCCCTTGGAAAGTGACGATGAACTGAGACTAAAACTTATTCAGGCAAAATGAGTATATTGCGGTCGGGGGTAGTTTGTAATTTCATTTACAAAATTGGTTTTTGTATAATTGTAATTGGAGTTTTGGGATTAAAGAGTACCTCTATCCAAAATGATGCTGAATGGCCTTGGTCCCAGGCTTTTAATCAGTATGCTGGATCCATGGGAGAACCTTCTGAGATAAAAGATTTAAACCTATCCACTGCAGTAATCCATGGGAATCAGGTATATGAGGAGCAGGAGTGGCAGGAATGGGAACTGTGTGCACTTCAAGGGATCAGAGGAGAAGAAATCAGGGTAGGATGCCAGGAGGTCAATGGGACCACTCATGAGAAACCAAATCAAATTAGTGTTTCAGCCTCTCCTGTATAGAGTGAGGTTTGTAATAGCCCAAGTAAATCAAACTGTTGGTGTAATTTCACATTAACACAGCCTGTAGAGGTGACTTGTCTTTGGGTTCATGACGTTACTGGGCTCTCATTTAAATTTAAAATAGAAGCTATACCTTTTACAATGGGAAGACCTCATACAACTCACACCAGTACTCAAGCAGTTCAGACCCAAACCAAACTTGAAACTAAAGTATATGAAATAGGCCCATATGTAGTGAGGGATATGGGTCAACAACAACTGTTGTTCAATCCAAAGTGGTCTCTCAAATGTGTTGAATTGCTAATGCAAATTAACATCTCAGAAATCCAACCAGACTGCTCCTCTTTCCTAAGAACAGCCTTTGAGGGCTGGACAATGTGGTTACAGAGACAAGTACACCTCAGAATCAGAATAAGAATGGATCTAGGATCTAACTGGTATATTAGGGACAGGATTAGGAGTTTTAAATGGAATTAATTCAGAAATACTGACTGTTATGAGTAGAAAATTGTCTATTTTTTTTAAGCTGCAGAGTTAACAAGTTAAACCAATTGCTGTTGCTAATAACTGGGGGGGGGGAGGTGACGTAGAGCTGGAATGCAAATAAGGAAGCCCCTCATGAAATCTTGCAAGAAAAACCCCTCAAACAATGTGCCAATCTGGAATTAAGAGATCTAAGTGATGTCTAAAGGTGAGTAACTTAATCCTGTATCTGCTAAGATCCTTTTTACCTCTCACCCTAACCTAAAAAGGATGTTGGCTAGAAAGAGGACCTTGAATGTCAGACTGAAAAGGACAGAAGCCCCAGCTCTGCCTGCATACCAGGGGACATAGCTGCATTCTTCCTCCTCCTCCGTGACACTCCTAGGAGCAGTGGCAGTGTGGGCACGACTTGTTGTTTCTCCTCACCTGAGCTGATTTTTTAAATAAAGGCATTAAAAAAGGAGAAAGATCTCTTGCCCTATTTATTTCACTGATGAACAAGCTGGCCACTGCAGCAGGTGGTCTAGCAAAATTAAAACAGTCCCTACAGTCATCTGTATTGTCATTAGGAACTAGCCAGTGGCAGATTTCAAAAGTACTGCCAAAGTGGGAGAAGGCCAGGGACCAAGACCACAAGTTAATAGTGGAAGCGCTTAGTACGGTTGAAGATAATGTGTCTTTAGCTTTCAGTTGTATACAAGCACAGTTATGGATGCAGGCAACAGCAGCTTTGATCATATGGGAAGGGGGTGAAGGTGATTTTCCAGCTGAAATTCAAAAGATTGTCTGGGATAATGTGATTGATTTTGAAAGAAAGTTTCAATCCTTATGGATGATGGTAAATTTTACCTATGATCCTGTTATGAATAAAAAGTTATCTATTTTTTTTAAGGTTCCAGAGTTAAAACAAGTTGGACCAGTTGCTGTTAAATTAGCTTCATTGTTGAGAGCTCTTCTTCAATTACCTGTTAATGGTTGGTGATTAACCATTGTCCCCCCATGTTTGCCAGGGAGGGACACTGGGACCCTGCAAGTACCAGGAGAATGGGAGTGGCAAGAGCTAGTATTCAGATGAGAAATGCATTGCACCAAATTTTGCAGTTTTCCAGGAAAATCCCTAAAAACAACGAGCCAACATAGAACTAGGAGACCTAGGTGATGTCTAAGGATGGCAGTGTAGTCCAGTGCCTGCTTGGATCCTTTTTTCTTCTCACCCTAACCTCAGGTAGGGGGGGGGGGAGGTGACGTAGAGCTGGAATGCAAATAAGGAAGCCCCTCATGAAATCTTGCAAGAAAAACCCCTCAAACAATGTGCCAATCTGGAATTAAGAGATCTAAGTGATGTCTAAAGGTGAGTAACTTAATCCTGTATCTGCTAAGATCCTTTTTACCTCTCACCCTAACCTAAAAAGGATGTTGGCTAGAAAGAGGACCTTGAATGTCAGACTGAAAAGGACAGAAGCCCCAGCTCTGCCTGCATACCAGGGGACATAGCTGCATTCTTCCTCCTCCTCCGTGACACTCCTAGGAGCAGTGGCAGTGTGGGCACGACTTGTTGTTTCTCCTCACCTGAGCTGATTTTTTAAATAAAGGCATTAAAAAAGGAGAAAGATCTCTTGCCCTATTTATTTCACTGATGAACAAGCTGGCCACTGCAGCAGGTGGTCTAGCAAAATTAAAACAGTCCCTACAGTCATCTGTATTGTCATTAGGAACTAGCCAGTGGCAGATTTCAAAAGTACTGCCAAAGTGGGAGAAGGCCAGGGACCAAGACCACAAGTTAATAGTGGAAGCGCTTAGTACGGTTGAAGATAATGTGTCTTTAGCTTTCAGTTGTATACAAGCACAGTTATGGATGCAGGCAACAGCAGCTTTGATCATATGGGAAGGGGGTGAAGGTGATTTTCCAGCTGAAATTCAAAAGATTGTCTGGGATAATGTGATTGATTTTGAAAGAAAGTTTCAATCCTTATGGATGATGGTAAATTTTACCTATGATCCTGTTATGAATAAAAAGTTATCTATTTTTTTTAAGGTTCCAGAGTTAAAACAAGTTGGACCAGTTGCTGTTAAATTAGCTTCATTGTTGAGAGCTCTTCTTCAATTACCTGTTAATGGTTGGTGATTAACCATTGTCCCCCCATGTTTGCCAGGGAGGGACACTGGGACCCTGCAAGTACCAGGAGAATGGGAGTGGCAAGAGCTAGTATTCAGATGAGAAATGCATTGCACCAAATTTTGCAGTTTTCCAGGAAAACCCCTAAAAACAACGAGCCAACATAGAACTAGGAGACCTAGGTGATGTCTAAGGATGGCAGTGTAGTCCAGTGCCTGCTTGGATCCTTTTTTCTTCTCACCCTAACCTGAAAGGATGTTGACTAGAAAGAGGACCCGGGGTGTTGGACCAAAAAGGCGGAATCTCCTAATCTCCCATGACGATGGAAGCCCCAGCTCTGCCTGCATACCAGCGGACACACCTGCATCCTCCTCCTCCTCCATGCCATGCCTGGGAGCAGCGGCGGCGTGGGCGCGACCCATCGATTTCTCCCCAGCTGAGCTGATTATTTTTAATAAAGGCATTTAAAAAGGAGAAAGATCTCCTGCCCATTCATTTCAATCCTGTTTCTAAGGTGGCCACTGCCTTTGTGCTTACTATATGCAATGTGTAATATGTAAATTACATATGTAATATGTAAATTACATTATCCATCCCATTATTACACTGGGATTAAATAATTAAAAAATGGTGCTCTGCCCCTCAGAACATAGGGTGTGGGTACGAAATGTAAATGAAAAGTGGCAAACAGTAAACTTAGAATCTAGTGTTGCTAGGGAACAACTAGGATTCATTTGTGAAAGCAATACTATCAGTGGTCAAGATGTGTGTCTTTACACTGAACAAAGTATTTGCCACTTCGAGATTCATCCAGTCATCTTGCCTTCACCTGCAAAAGACAGATGAAAACTGCCTTCAACAAGTCTTATCCCATGGTGTTCCAGGATCCTCTACCATTTTCCCCCCTCCCTGGAAAACAGTATCAAAGTTTGATCGAAAAGGGCAAAAATATTGGTGCAAATCTGTACAGTTTGTAGATGATTTGTTAATTAGCAAGTTAAGATAAGAAGGTTGCGGGAAGCCCCCAGAGCAGTCGGGGGGCAAGCTGGTGCTGGGAGGGCGACTGAGTGGCCAGGCAAAGCAGGCCCGGGCTGTGTTGGGTGGTGCTGCCCTGGCTGCCAGTGCTGTTGGGGGCTGAGTGGCTTGTGGCACACTCCTACCTTGCAGGAGTCGATGTTACCCTGTGGGTAACCAGCACACAAGTTGTACGGGTGGACTTCTCCATCATACCAGTCACTGCTGTTGCAGAGCTGGACATTGATGAGCTGGACCTTGGCCTGCTGAAGGTGATCAGCTGACTCTAGACCTGTGAGCAGGGAAAGGAGTGAGCCCCCAGCAGCACCCTGCCGGTCCTCCCTCCCTGTCAGGGGAATCCCTTTCCCTAGGGCCAGGCCCATCTTTGCAGGGTTGTATGTTCTGCAGCCTGGCTTTGGCCTCTGCTGTGGGGAAGCCCAAACCCTCTCCCCAGTGTGCTGAGCTGGCCCAGAAGTCGCTCTTGAAACTCACTTCTTGCAGTAGTGGCACCCCAGCCAGCAATCCAGCAGTTTTGCAGCTCTGAGACTCTTAGGGTGGGGTCAGCCAGGCAGGCCAGCTGGATGTAGGAGCTGCACAGGACAGGACGGTCCAATTGCATCAGGGCAATATCGTAGCTGTAGTCACTACGCTTGTAGTTGCCGTGTACGACCACCTTCTTGACACTGCGCACTTGTGCCCCAGGGCCCGGCTGACTTAACTGGGTGGCCCCAATCAACACGTACAGCAGGCTGATGTTACTGGAAAGGAGATGGAGAGAGGGCTGAGAGGGAGTCACAGCAGCCCAGCAGTTGCCAGACCTTGGCTTGGAAAGGCAGAGAGGGAGCAGTGCCCTGGCAGGTGAGTTCCCTTGCACTGGGCTCGGGGAATGCCAAGCTGGAGGTTGCTAGGAAGCCTGGCACAAGCTCAGGCTTCTCCTGAGCAGTGTGGCTGCCTGGCTGCCTAAGAGGAAAGGGAATGGGAGTAGCATGTGATGCTGCTGACAGGGCAACTGCTGGGATTGTGGGGATGTCCCAATTGCTTGCTCCTCCTTACTCAAACTTGTCGAAGCAGTGGGCTGCTGTGAGGACCCAATCTGCCGTGATGAGTGACCCTCCACACCAATGTCCCAGGCCTGGTACCCAGGGGTGCTGGATGCTGACGATCCAGGGCCATTCTGCTACCGCAGCTCCCATACCACCCACGATGCGTGTCATGCCGTAGTCATAAGCCGCGTCACCGTAGGAATAAGTCATGGGGCTGTTGACAGGTGGCGGAACTCGGAGCCCACATGGGTCGGAGGCCACAAGTCCATCTGCAAGCAGAAAGTGATTTCCGTGCTGCTTCATGGCCTGCTGTGGCTCAGGCTGAAGCTCAACCCTCTGCCCTCCCCACAAGGCCTTGCACGCACAGCAGGCCAGGGAAGCCCAAGACGTGCGCGTCTGTCCGTGCCAGCACCTGGTTGCTGGCAAGGAGCTGAGGCTTCCTGTGGTGGGTGGGAAGCTGTGGCCCGGCCATGGAGGAAAGGCGGGTGTCCTCCAGGGAAGGCTGCAAGTGCTGCAGTGGCTCATCTCCAGGGCCTGGGCCCACTTACCCGCAGGTGTACTGGATACTCTGTGCCAGCCCAGCCATGGTCAGCAGGATGAGGAGGCCAAAGCAATTCATGGCTGCCAGAGGCATGTGTCAGCTGCAAGCACTGAGGGCTCCGTGCAGCAGCACAGCCACAGCCACAGTGCCCACAGCAGCTGCGCTGCCCATGGTGCCCTTGGCCCTGGGGCTGATGTCATAGAGGGATGAGTTCCATGTTCTGGGCACTGTGGGGATCTGTGGCACAGGGCCCACTGGGGGAGGGGCAACATGGCATTGAGGAGCCATAGAATGGTTTGGGTTGGAAGGGACTTTGGAAATCATCTCACTCTGAGCCCTTGCCTTGGGCACAGAGGGATAGCTTGCACTGGCGAAAGCTCTTCTGAGCCTGGCTCAGAAGCTGTCCTTGAACACTTTGAGGGATGTGGCGTTGAAGTCCTAAGTCCTGATCAACAGGCCCTGACCGAGGCAGGAACAGCAGCTCTTGACGAGAAAGTTGATCTCTAGATTGACCTTCTAACTAAATGTTACCTATATCTGCTCAATGGCAAAACATGGATTTTCCTTTCCCTGTTTAGAAGCTGGACAAGGCCACATCTGGCCTTCTTTTGGTGTGTAGGATCACAGACAACTGCCTTGGATCCTCCTGAAGCCCTCCAAGGCCTTGGGAGCATCCTAATAGGAGAATGAAGCCAGATGTTCCTGCTCTAGTAGTTATAGTAACTTGTTTATTGAACAGTATAAAAAGAAGGCCCTCTCCCAGTGCAGTCAGAAACCTCATTGCCTGTAGGGGAAGGCACCTGCAGAATTTCCTACTTGCAAATAGTGATTCCCCAGTATTGTGACAGTGGCTTTCCCCAGGTGAATGGGCAGACCTCGATGATGGTAAAGTATTAGGATAACTTGTGATGTGTCTTTCTACACCACTGTAGGCAGTCTTTTAGAGTAATGATTAGATGCATTGCTCAGCTTATTCTTTTGCAATTCTTTGCAGTTTTGGATTACAGTAAATTACAGTTATTCCTGAAGTTGGTGTCTATGTCTTCTCTACTGACTCTGACTGTGGGAAAAGCAGGATTCCACACAGCTCTAAGCAACCTATGCTGTGCCTCAGTGCCTTGGAGTGATTTATTATGACAATATATTCAGATATCCTCTATTCTCTTTCCAGAAATTATTACTGTATCTTTAAGATGCTTCAACCCCAGGACCTTGAGTGTGTGAGGCAGGAGGAATGGAGTGCTTTTGTTCTGTGTGGGTGTTTTTTAAAAGCTCCCTGCCCAGGTTTTTCAGGGCTCTCCGTGGTGTGATTTTATCCTGGCTGGCTTGGTTTTTGCCTAGGCAAAAGTGTTTCCTTTCCTTGTCTCGGAGAAGCTGCAGTAGCGATTTTTAGGCTGCCTTGAGGCAAATTGAGCAGCTGCTTGTCTGAGACAGAAACGTCACACTGGCAACAGCAGAGCTTCACTGCTCCAACCCAAAATGTTTTATTGTGCTTTTTGTTTTATTAGTTGCTTTATAGTTTGATTTGTGATTTGGCAGTTTTCTTTATGCTGTTTTCTTATTGTCCCCGCCTTTTCCCAGAATTTTTGTCATCTTTTTTGTTGTTAGTTTCTAGTTTCTATTTCTCCAAATGTAAGCAGTTTACTGAAACTGTTTTTCTTCCCTTGGAATTTTATTGGTTCATACATTGTAATCCCTGCCTGGTTTTTACTCCCAATTCTCCTGATTTGTTAAAGATTGTGCCCTCCCCTGGAATGTGCCCCAAATATAAGTGCCCTTTCCCCCCTTGTTCAGGGTCCCGGGAGAGGAAAAGGGGAAGTTTACCATCAAATAAAGTTACCCTGGGACCTATGTGCTTCCCTGTGTTTTATAATGCACCAAAACAGCTGACAGCTGGGATTCAATGGAGCTCCAGGGGGAATCTGCCACCCCCCGCCCCCCTCCTATCATCAGCTAGCCGGGGGAAAGAGAAGCGTCACCTTAATAAAGGCATTAAAAAGGAGAAAGATCTCCTACCCATTTATTTCAAAACCACTGTGAACTGTGCCAAGCTGTGGAAAGAACACACAAAATGGCTTCAGCCCAGCTATTTCACCTGCCATGACCATTCTGCTGTTCTTTGCTGTGGGGAGGAGGTCGGCCTCATATGAGCCATGAGGCCTTTGTCTGCTGCTGGGCCTTTGTCTGCTCCATGAGGCTGCTGCCTTCCAAAGGGGGAGAAGTTGATGCCATCTTTTATCATGTATCAGGAATGGCTTTTCTCCAGCATTTTGGGTCTCCTTTTGTTCTGGTGGGGTGGTGAGATCTAACACTTTGATATGTACAAGTTATTTTCCTTTTATTTGTTCCTGCCTGTTGGCATTTGGTTTGTAAACAAAAATGTTGGGGTTTTGTTGTTTTTTTTTTTTTTCACTTTCATTTATTAGTATTCATTTCTTACTGGTGGAAAGGGATTCTTGAAGTCTACAGTCTAAAGGAGGTAACCCAGATGGTTCTCTTCTAAATTGTCTCAAAATGAGAAAAAATTTGTTGCCCAACTTAAAGGTGCAAGAGAAAGTGAAAAATAAAAAGAAAATAACACTCTTGTCTGAAAGACTTTGTACTGGCTACAACAGTCAATGGTTACCATGCTGTCTGTTCAATAATGGCTTCATGGCACCTGGGCATGTGTGCTTATCCATATATATTGGCAATCTTGGCCCTGGAATATATCTCATTCATATCAGGGATGCGAATCAGAATTGCTGGGTTGATATGCTCTGTGCTAATAAAAGGACATCAGAGGTAATGAGAGTTATTTGGGATGTATATTCTCTGCTGTTTTCCAGTGCTGGCCTCTGAGATGAATAGGGTAGGAGATCTTTCTCCTTTTTAATGTTTTTATTAAAAAGAAGCAGCTCAGGTGGGGAGAAATCAACGGGTCGTGCCCACGCTGCTGGTGCTCCCAGGAGTGGCACGGAGGAGGAGGAGGGTGATGCAGCTTTGTCCGCTGATCTGCAGGCAGAGCTGGGGCTTCCATCCTCATGGGACATTAGGAGATTCTGCTTTTTTGGTCGAACATTTCAGGTCCTCTTTCTAGTTAAGACCTTTTCAGGTTAGGGTGAGAAGTAAAAGGATTTTAGCAGATACTGGATTAAGTTTCTCATCCTTAGACATCACTTAGGTCTCTTAATTCCATGTTGGCTCATTGTTTTTAGGGTTTTTTTCCTGGAACGTTACAAAATCTGGTGAAATGTATTCTCATCTGGTACTAGCTCTGATGTCACTCCGCCCCTGCTACCTGCCGGGGTCTGGTGTCACCCCTGGCAAGCATCAAGGGGGACAATGGCTAATTACCAACCATTAACAGGTAATTGAAGAAGAACTCTTAACAATAGGTGGCTGCAACATGCAGGTAACCTTAAATTCAACAGCAACTGGCTCAACTTGTTTAACTCTGCAACCTTAACAAAAATTTGATAACTTTTTATTTATAACAGCCTCGACAGTCTTTTTTTGGGGGATTTATTAACAATCACATTCGTTCTGTTGGGGGAAAAGCAGGGGATGATTTTTCCCAGCCTTTTACCTCCTTCTTCCTCTTCAGATCTGGCATGTCACCATTTGAGAATATTCCATTCCCTCTGGATGTTAAAGATACCATATTTGCTTTTAAAAAATTCTGCTAGCTCTCCTGCATAAGACTTACAGCACATTTAGAATCAGGGTTGAGATTTCCAGAGAGGTTGTCCAGACATCTGCCCCAGTGGTGGAAAATCTTGAGTGGTGTGGGATGTGGGAGGACATAGGCCAAACCCTGAAGGAATTCTCTGCCCCCATAGATTGAAACTTTCACCCTGAAAAAATTCAGAATCCAGCTGAGGTGGGGAAATATATGAAAAAAAAAATTGTAATGACAGCTCTAAAGAGAAGAAGCTCATTGCAATGTGCTGGGCCTTGGCTAATGCTTATCATACACTGCTAGACACTGTAGGACAGCAAATACAGCCAGAGGGGCAGGAGGATGAATCAGCAGACACCCCAGGCACACTGGCTGCAGCTAAGCCAGTTGGTGAGCCTAAGCCAACAGCAATTACCCCTGTCCGGAGAAACCAAATCCACTCACCCAGTGGATGATGATGGGGGGTAAGGACCCTCACAGCCAGAGGAATTGGAACCAGAAATAATCACCAAGTCTTCATGAAATAAGTGGGCAGGAGATCTTTCTCCTTTTTAATGCCTTTATTAAGAAGAATCAGCTCAGGTGGGGAGAAATCGACGGGTTGCGCCCACGCCGCCGCTGCTCCCAGGAGTGGCACGGAGAAGGAGGATGATGCAGCTTTGTCCACTGGTCTGCAGACAGAGCTGAGGATTCCGTCCTCACGGGAGAGTAGCAGATTCCTGGCTTGTTTGTCTAACACCCCGGGGTGTCTCTTTAATCAGTATCTTTTCAGGTTAGGGTGAGAAGCAAAAAGGGTCCAAGCAGGTACGGGACTACACTCCCATCCTTAAACATCACTTAAGTCACTTGTTGGCTCGTGATTTTAGGGGTTTTTCTTGTAAAAACTAAAAATTCAGGGCGCAATGCATTTCTCATCTGCATACTGGCTCTGATGTCACTCCTTGGAGGGTCTGTCCTGGTGTCTTCTTGGCAAGCAGCCAGCATCAGGGAAACAATGGTTAATCACCGGCCATTAACGGGTAATTGAGGAGCTTTTCTTTGGCAGGGAAACCAAAGAGGTCGGACTGGTCTGACTTGTTTCTAACTCTGAAACTCAAAAAAATTACAACTTTCTATTCATAACACTTCATCCTTAGAAAGCCTTCACAATCTGAGAAAATATCTCAGCCAATGGCCTGATGAGTCTATATTATGTGGGTTGGTCCAAATCTGGGACACTGCAGGCTATGATACAATTTTGGATGGTACTGAAATGAGGCATTTTGGACCTCTGTCATGTGATGTATTGACCAGGGGATTGCAAGGAGGCCCAAACCTCTCAGCCTCTAGACACAGTTCTTAACAAGTATGAAGGAAAGATACCTTAACTCAGATCTTCAGCTGCAGCAAGGCCTCTGGAAGACCATGGAGCAAGGAATCCAATACTTGAGAAAACCAGCTGTGCTAGAGGTCCTTTTCTTAGATGATGACCAAACCCCTAAGAGTCCAGACATTGTAAAATGTATGACAGTGATGTGGCTCAAAGTTGCACAAATCCAGCCACGCATGTACACCCCTTTCATAGCAATGCTGCAGTGGAAGGAGAGGGATGAGACAGCAGTGCTGGGACAAAGAGGCTCCGGTACTATGAAGACACTGTTCATGGCCCAACAGAAGCAAAAATCTTAGCTGTGGAAACACACCTGGCAGCGCATATATAGAAAGTGAAAGACAGGACTAAAGAGACCCATCAGAAACTCAGGAAGGAGATGAAGAGGACCTTCTTTAAGTCTCATGAGCACAGTGCAGATGCCCTCTTATCTGATGCAGATGGCCCCAGCTAGGGACAGGGGGTACACCCCACAAGCTGACCTGTGGTTCTTTCTGTGTGAGCACAGGGAAGATATGAGGTGAGATGGAAAACTAATTTCTGTCTGGCAGCACAGGTGTGTAAATTAAAGGAGGAAACTACTAACAAGGGAGTTCCACCATAAGGAATGCAGCTACAGTTTCCTGTAGCTGAGCAGCCAGGTAAAACAGAAGAGATGTTGATATGTCCTTCCCCTTGAAGGAACTTCTGGGATATTCACAGAGGGAGTCAATGGTAGCCAGGAGAAGAGGGGCCCTGGCCTCCAGCCAGGTAAATGCTGGGGAAAATTGCGTCTTTTGGACTGTGTGGATCCAATGCCCTAGCACAACCGAACCACAAAAATACAAGGCTTTGGTTGACACTGGTGCATAATGTACTTTAATACCACTGGGACATGTGGGGACAGAACCTGTTTCTATTGGTGGGTCAACAGGAGAGTCACAGCAGTTGACTCTGCTGGAAGCTGAGGTACACTTGACTGGGAAGGAGTGGAGTAAACACCTTATTGTGACTGGTCCAGAGGTCCCATGTATTCCGGGAGTAGGTTTCCTCAGGAGTGGTTATTTCAAAGACCATAAAGGACTCAGGTAGGCTTTTGGAATACCTGCTGTGAAGACAGAGTGTCCTCTGTCTTTAGACACCTTGCCTGGTTTCTCAAAGTACCCTTCTGCAGTAGGACTCCTGAAAGTAGAACAGCAGGTACCAGTGGCCACCACTATAGTACATCATTGGCAATACCACACAAACCGAGACTCTGTGATTCCTATACATAATATGATCCATGAGCTAGAGAGTCAGGGAGTGGTCAGTAAGACCCATTCATGCTTCACCAGTCCCATTTGGCCTTTGTGCAAGTCTGATGGGGAATGGAGATTGACTGTGGACTATTGTTGCCTAAATAAATTTATACCATCACTGAGCGCTGCCATGCCGGACATGCTGGAGCTCCAGTATGAGCTGAAGTCTGAGGCAGTGAAGTGGTACTCCACTACTGACATTGCCAATGCATTTTTCTCCATTGCTCTGGCAGCAGAGTGCAGGCCCCAGTTTGCCTTCACCTGGAGGGGTGTGCAGTATACCTGGAACTGACTGCCCCAGGGGTGGATACACAGCCCCACCATCTGCCATGGGCTGATCCAGGCTGCACGGGAAAAGAGCGAGGCTCCAGAACATCTGCAGTACATCAATGACATCACTGTATGAAGGAACACGGCAGGGGATGTTTAGGAGAAAGGAGAAAGAATAATCCAGAGTCTTCTGAAAGCAGGTTCTGCTATCAAATGAAGTAAAGTCAAGGGGCCTGCCCAGGCAATTAATTTCCTAAGGGTTGTTATAGATGGATAATGAGATGATTGGCTCTCACAGTTAAGGGATAACTATTGTGTGAATATTAAGAAAAGCTTTAGTGATGTATAGTTATGTTATTTTAGTTTAGGTGTCCTCTGTTCTCCCCATGGTTCTCTTTTCTCCCCTGTATTGTGACCATCAGACAGCCGGGGTGGTTTAGGACAGGTAAAAAGAAGGCATGCACATGTGTCCCCTGCATGGGGCAGTTGAGAATGGAAAAGCTTGTTGCTAAGGGGGTGCAGCATGGCAACACCTGATCTCCAGTCATATTACAAGAAAGCAGACTCCACCGATAAATGGCAAAGAAGAGCTGACTGACAGACTTTAGGAGGGGCCAGGGCTGGCTGATGCAACCCGCAGGGGTATAAAAGACTGAGCATCCATCTTAAAGATGAACTGGCCACGTGGTATGCATGAAGGCAGTTCCCAGTGCTGCAGCTTTTTCCTTATGTAGTCCTTTGCTGTATTTTTGTTAAGGTTTAATAAACCTCTTTAAATTTTCAAAGTGAGCAGTTGTCTCTCACAGGGTAAAGTGGCAAGATGGATACAGACAGATGCCAACAGATATCATTAATAAGATAAGTGCTATGTCCCCACTGACCAGCAAGAAAGAAACACAAGCTTTCCTAGGCACTGTGGGCTTTTGGAGAATGCAAATCCTGGAATACAGCCAGACTGTAAGACCTTTCAACCTCATGACACAAAACAAAAATTGTTTTGACTGGGGCCCTGAGCGACAGCAAGCTTTTGAGCAGATCAAGCATGAGATTGCCCATGCAGTAGTACTTGGGCCTGTCAGGACAGGACATGATATGAAGAATGTGCTCTACACCACAGCCGTGGAGAATGGTCCTTCCCGGACCCTCTGGCAGAGGGACCTGGGAAGACCTGAGGCTGACCTCTGGGTTTTGGAGTCATGCATACAGAATCTGAGGCCAGCTACACCCCAACTGAGGAAGAGATTCCTGCAACTTATGAAGGGGTTCGAGTTGCCTCAGAAGTGACTGGCACTGAAGCACAGCTCTTCTGGTACCCTGACTACCAGTGCAGGGCTGGATATTTAAAGGAAAGGTCCCTGCAATACATCATGCCACAGATGCTACCTGGAGTAAATGGTTCACCCTCATCGCAGTGAGCTTGAATAGGAAACCCAAATTGGGATCTTGGCAGTCATCACAAACTGGTCCAAAGGCAAGAACTTTTGATTATCATCAGAAGAGGAAGAGCAGGTGACATATGCTGAGGAAGCCCCACCATTTAACCAGCTACCTGAAAGTGAAGGATGGTACATCCTCTTCACTGATGGATCCTGCTGTACTGTAGGGACCAGTAGGGAATGGAAAAGAACTGTATGGAGCCCTATATTGTGAGTTGCAGAAGCTACTGAAGAACGAGGTGGATCCGTGTAAGAAACATATCTGTGAGACTTTCTTGTCAAACTTTCATCCTTCCCAACAGATCCGGTCAGATTGCAGAGCTGAAAATTGTCCAGCTGGCTTTGGACACTGCTGTGTAAGAGAAGTGGCCAACACTACCACTACACTGACTACGTGGTGGCAAACAGTCTGAGGGTGGCTGGAAAGGTGGAAAAAGGCCAAATACAGTGTAGAGGAAAACCAGTCTGGGCTGCTGAAGAATGGCAAGACATCAGTGCCTGGGTAGAGAAGCTGATCATTAAAGTCTGTCATGTATATGTCCCTGTGCTGAAGAGTCAGGCAACAATGAACAGGTGGATCAGGCTACAAAATCAAGGTGTTACAGATAAATTTGGATTGGCAACACAAGGGGAAGTTGTTCCTAGCTCAATAGGCCCATAATACCTCAGGTCAGAAGGGCAGAGAGGCTACCTAAGACACAAGACTGAGAGGAGGATTTACCATGGCAGTCTTCCAGATTATCCATGATTGTGAGATGTGCTGATAGGACAAGGGAAAATGGCTTTGCAGTGACAGACAGTAGCTTTGTACATGTCTTCCCTGAGGAGTTGCAGGATGCCCTACTGTTTATTTTTTCCCCCAAATGAAAATTCTGGGGTTGAATAAATGGGTATAAAATCTCCGGGAGAATTTGTACAGTACCTATATGATTTGTTAATTAGCAAGGTAGGTGTCAGCTTTTATCCTGTTCACTTCTGAGGCTTGATGTAGCAGGTTCGAAGGAAGCCGTGGTGGCTCAGAGCACTCTCCTCTCTCACCAGGCACTTTGCAGCTCTTTGGAGCCCCTTTGTGCCCCCAGGCTCATTCTGCAGGTGTGGAATATGGAAGTCCTTGCCTTGCCCAGGAGTCAGAATTCAGTCAAAAAGATGGTTCCCGGTGATGATTGGTAACTTCCCCTCCCCGCCAGAAAACAATTTCTGTGCACTGAGGCACACCCTGGAGGCTGCCCACCCTGGTGCACAAAAAGCACTTTAAACATTGTTTGTGCCCATGTGGGCTAGAATCCAGTCATAGAAGTACTGAGTGGAGGTGTAGATTCCAGGACGCCTTGCTCTGCCACAGCTTTTTCCCCAGCTGGTCACTCCGACAACCCACCAGTAATCAGCATGGTTATCTTGGCACATGAGAGGACCACCACTGTCACCCTGCAGCAAGAGCACAGAGGATTAAGATGGTGTTGGTGGCACCTGCCAGCACTGGGGCTGTCTCCTTCTCTCTCACAGCTCCTGCCAGAGCTGTATTCTGGGCAGAGGAAAGCTCTGCTCAGGGGCTGGAGCCTCCAGAAGCTTGGCTGTGAATGGCATGGGGTCCTAAAGGGTAGGGCTCTCTGTGTTGTCCCTGCACAGGACTCCTGGATGTGCAGAGGATGGACGTTTGGCACCTGGACCTCTGTGCTGCCAAGAGCACTAGCTGGGCTTTCTGGGCTTTTGGCACAAGGGGAGTCCTGGGCAGGCAGGTGTGGATGGGGAGTGTGTGGGAAGCCCCCAAAGCAGTTGGGGGGGAGCTGGCCGGGCAAAGCAGGCCCTGGGGTGGGGTGTTGGGGTGGTGCTGCCCTGACTGCCAGTGCTGCTGGGGGCTGAGTGGCTTGTGGCACACTCCTACCTGGCAGGTGTCGATGTTGCCCTGTGGGTAACCAGCACACAAGTTGTATGGGTGGAGTTTCCCTGAGTACCAGAAGGTGCTGTTGCAGAGCTGGATATTGATGACGCGTACCTTGGCCTCCTGGAGGTCATCACTTGGGGTTTTATCTGTGAGCACAGAAAGAAACGAGCCACGAGCAGCTCCTTCCCAGTTCTTTTCCCTTGTCTGTGGGGGATCCCCTTCCCTAGGATATGGCTTTGCCTCTGCAGAGGCACTGGGGCCCTCTGACCCTGCTGCCTGCCTCTGGGGAGCAGGCCAGGCCCATCTCTGTAGACGTCTGTACGTCCTGCAGCTTGGGTTTGGCCTCTGCTGTGGGGAAGCCCAAACCATCTCCCCAGTGTGTTAAGCTAGCTCTGGAGTACCTCTTGGAAACTCACCTTTTGCAGTGGTGGCACCCCAGCCAGCAATCCAGCAGTTATGCTCCTGTGACACTGACACTCCTAAGATAGCATCGGCCACACAGGCCAGCTGGACGTAGGGGCTGCACTGGACAGGCTTGCTCAGCTCCAGCAAGGCAATGTCATTGCTCATGTCACGTCTCTGATAGTTTTCGTGACGCAGTAACTTCTTAATTTGGCGGACTTCTGCCCCAGGACCGGGCTGACTTAAATGGGTGGCCCCAATCACCACGTAGACCATGGTGGTGTTACTGGAAGGCAGATGGAGAGAGAGCTGAGAGTGAGCAGAGCCACGTGCCACAGCAGCCCAGCAGTTGCTAGACCTCTGCTCTGTCAAGGCAGAGAGGGAGCAGCGCTCTGGCAGGTGTGAGTGCCTTAGCACACCTTAGGCTGAGGGAATGCCAAGCTGGAGGCTGCTAGGAAGCCTTGGCACAAGCCCAGGCTTCTCCTGAGCAGTGGGGCAGCCTGGCTGCCTGAGAGGAAAGGGAATGGGAGTAGCAGGTGATGCTGCTGACAGGGCACCTGTTGGTGTTGTAGAGATGTCCCCATTGCCTGCCCCTTCTTACAAAATGAGGTCAAAGCAGTGGGCTGCTGTGAGGACCCACTCTGCCCTGATGAGAGACCCTCCACAGAAATGCTTTGTGCCTGGTATCCTCGGATGCTGGATGCTGACCATCCACGGCCAGGCCCCTGGCTTGGCCCCTGTGCCACCCACAATGCGTGTCATGGCATCATCATGAGGTATGGAGTCAGACACCATGGGTCGGAGGCCGCAATTCCATCTGCAAGCAGAAAGTGATTTCCGTGCTGCTTCATGGCCTGCTGTGGCTCAGGCTGAAGCTCAGCCCTCTGCCCTCCCCACAAGGCCTTGCACGCACAGCAGGCCAGGGCAGCCCAAGGCGTGTGCGTCTGTCCGTGCCAGCACCTGGTTGCTGGCAAGGAGCTGAGGCTTCCTGTGGTGGGTGGGAAGCTGTGGCCCGGCCATGGAGGAAAGGCGGGTGTCCTCCAGGGAAGGCTGCAAGTGCAGCCATGCCCCACCCCGCCAGGGCCTGGGCCCACTTACCCGCAGGTGTCCTGGATACTCTGTGCCAGCCCAGCCATGGTCAGCAGGATGAGGAGGCCAAAGCAATTCATGGCTGCCAGAGGCATGTGTCAGCTGCAAGCACTGAGGGCTCCGTGCAGCAGCACAGCCACAGCCACAGTGCCCACAGCAGCCGCGCTGCCCATGGTGCCCTTGGCCCTGGGGCTGATGTCATGGAGGTATGGGTTCCATGTTCTGGGCACTGTGGGGATCTGTGGCACAGGGCCCACTGGGGGAGGGGCAACATGGACTTGAGGAGCCATAGAATAGTTTGGGTTGGAAGGAATCTTGGTGATCATCTAACTCCAAGCCCCTGCCATGGGCAGGGAGGGATAGCACTAGGGATCTCAGGGAGGGATTGGGAGGGTCTTGTACTAGACCCAGTTGTCCAGAGTGTCCAGAGCTTGGCTTGAGAGCAGTCCTTGAACAAACTCATACCAGTGCCTCAGTACCCTCACAATCCAGAATTCCTTCTTATGATCTTATCTACATCTACCTCTGTCACTGTAAAGGCATTGGCCCTTGTCCTGTCAGGACCTGCACTTGTAAAAAGGTTCTCTGCTGCTTTCTTTAGGGCCCTCTTCTTGCAGGATGAGGCTCTGCAGTCCCTAGGGCAGGCAGCAGCTGAGGAATCCCTTTGGGGCAGGGAGCTGGGTGTGCAGCTGCAGCGCCAGCTGCAGATTGAGCTCTGGCTGGCAGGAGCCTGGGACCAGAGGCTGTGAACTGCCCACACTTTGCATAACAGAGAGCACAGGGAGCTGTGGCACTGGCCAGGGATTTGAAAGAACACAGCGTTGCAGCAGGAGCCAGGGGCTGTTTATGGAATGTGACATCTGTGAGTCTGCTGGGAGAATCCTGAGGTTGAATGGGTATGGAAACCTATTGGTTGTTACCAATATCACTGAATGGGACGTGCTGTGGCTTGTCTGGCTGAGCCAAATAGCGGCAACTGTGGTGTTTTCACCCCACAGACACTCTGGCTAGCTATAAGTTGCAGCTGGGCATGTTGGGGCAAGCCTAGACATGTCTGAGCTCCAGTGCTTACAGGCTAGAGCTTGTTGGTAGAAGAGGGTCACTCCTCAGGCCTCACTGTGCTGGAGAAACCTTTTAAGGCGATGGTGAAGGAAGGAGTCGGCCCTGATGGAGGGTTTAATCCAGAGTTTTTATTCAGGACCGCATGGCCCCTGTATGTAGCAACAGCTCCACAAGGACTCCCTCACTGTGTGCAGTGCTTGCCCTTTTACCCAGGGGAGAGGGGGAGGGGAAGGAACACAGGGACCACCAATCCAGGTACAGGGGGAGAAGGCCTCAGGGAAAAGGACACCTGGATGCCCCAATGCCTTTCCAAGGGCGAGGAGCATCTTTTGAATCTGCACAATCACTTGATGCTCCTCTGGAAATTCTGGGTTGATAGACAGTGCCCAGCAGGAGTTAGGGTTGGGGAAAGGAGATGTGATTGACACCTGGGAAGGACCAGGGTTACTGAGGCAAGCCATGACATCACACTGCAACAGAAACCTGCTCTGACTGGGTGAGAGCAGCATTGGTAGGGAGTCAAACAGGGCGACCATTGGATTGTTGGAGCCCCCTGTGCCTCTGGAATGGTCACACAGGGGAGTTTCCTCAGCACTATGGCAGCCCAGATGGGACTGTAGAGAAGTACCCTTAGAGCCTCGCTCCACCAAACATGCAACTGTTGGCAGCAGGTGAGTCCACCGGGATTTTTAGAGCAGGAAGGAGCTAAATGGGGAGTGTTACAATTCCATGCACAGACTCGATGTAAATTGTATGGGTGCATTTGAGCCTTTCTATTGTTGTAGCATTTGGTGCAGAGTTGATGAAATCACTGGTAGAGGGTGAAGGCATGCACAGCATGATCAGTGTAAGGTGGCCACAGAGGAGTTGTGGAGGCCCCTGTAAGGTGCGAGGTGGGGGGCCCTCAGTCTCTGCTAGGACACTTGAGTCTCCGCTTAAAGGGTTTTGGAGACAGGCACAGGGAGAGCCTTGTATGCCTTGTGCCAGGGAGAGTTCCTGGGCACACACAGAAGGGGGTGGAAGTCCCTTTTTGGCATAAAAAGGAGTTTTACAGCCCTTGTGATTTTTGACATGATGGGAAATATTCTTTGTTATAGATGAAAAATGAAAAATAGCCAATTTTAATAAAAATATAAAAATAAAATTTATTTCACGACCGTAATACAGTCTCAACAGCCACCAACCAAATCGGACAGTGTACCACTCCTGGGAGGTGATGCGGGTGAACGTGAGATTGGCCTCGCTAGTACCAATTCTACCCTGTCCACACTGGCTGCTCCGAGGCAGCAGTTCTTATACAGTTTATTTCACCCGAGGCAGGATGTCTTTGTTTCTTTCTGAGTTCTTCATATTCAAGTTGGTTTCTTTCTTTGGCTCAGGCTGCACAAAGCCTTCGTCAGGGAATAGAATAGCACACTTCCCCAATTCCCAGAATCTGTCATTCAGATGGAAGGTGTTGATGGCCCTGGTCCTCTCAGATAGGTATCTTGTCCGGGCCATCATCGCTTGGGCTTCACTGGGTGTAGGTTCTTGTGAATGCCCATCTCCTGTGCAGCCAGAGTTTCCTTTGAATGCAAATGTGGCGGTGCCTCTCTGTCCATCTGCCGCGGTTTCTCCATCCTGGGGAAGAATCTCTCCCCCCTCTTGTACACCAATAGTTCATTTTATACATATATATTTTGATACATCTTTTATTCCCGTGAATTACTAACCATATCTATAACATTCTGGTTCAGAGGATGAGAACAAGATCCTCTGTGGCTGAGTTTGTGCAACACTGACAGAATTTTGCCAAGACAGCACAGTAAAGTTGTGCCAGGGTGATTCGGTGACTCTAAGCTGGTTTCCTCACTGGGCAGGGTAATGGCATTCTGCAGCCTTGAGTGAGACTCTTGCACCAGTGTTGTAAGCTAGCAACCGCTGACTTAAGTCAGGTGGCAGGGACCAGTACAGATGTAGGGTGGTTGTTCTCAGCACAGCCCATCTTGATTAACACAAAGGGAAAAGTGCCACCCACTGTGAGACTCCACTGGCCTGGAAGCCAAGAGAATGTGCTTGGCACATGTCCTTCCCAAGGCATTCCAAGATCCTCTACTATTCCCCAGCCCCAGTATAAAATTTTGATTGAAAGGGTTTAAAATTAGAGTGCACATTTGCACAGTTTGTAGATGATTTGTTAATTAGCGAGTTGAGATAAGAAGGTTGTTTCCCATCCTGTCATGATTATCTACAGCCCTCAGGCAAACAAGCACACCATGCTGCAGTTTGCCTCTGTGCAGCTGGCTCTTTGATTGCTCCTTCTCTCCATTGGCCAGGCTTATACAGCCCCTCTCATCTTCCTTGACTCCCCCTTTTCTCTGCCCTTGTCACCTCCCAAATATGGAGCCATGTCCAGGCATCATTTGCCCCTGGCTCACAGGGTGGTTGTGCCTGTGAACAGCCTTGGTGTTGCAGGTGGTGTTGGCCTACTCACCTTGGCCTTCCACAGAATTCCTGGTGTACTTTCCTACAGTTCCTGCCAGGTTCCTCTCACCAGAATGACCCCAGCAGTTCCTCTGAGTATCTGTGAAGTGTGACCACTTGGTACGTGAATCCCTCTTTGCTGCCTGTGAAATCTGGCTCTGCCTTAGGGCACTGGCACTCCAGTCAGGAGCCAGGAGTTTCCCTTGTCATGTCTGGGAGTTTCCCAGATCTGTTCCCTTAGCCCAGGCTCACACCAGGCCCTAATTAGCAGCCCATGTGTATTTGAGCACCACCCCCAAGGTGTCAGCTTTTATCCTGTTCACTTCTGAGGCTTGATGTAGCAGGTTCCTCCAGGCCATGGTGGCTTAGAGCACTCTCTTCACTTTGCAGATCTTTGGAGCCACTGTGTTCCTTTGTGCCCCCAGGCTCATTCTACAGGTGCTGAGCATGGCACTTTTCTTGCCCAGGATTTGGAATTGTGAAAAGGTAGTTCTCTGTGAACAAAGGTAACTTTACTTCAACAATTAAATCAACTCCAGTGTGTGCATGCACAGAGGAGAGGAGTGTGGTCAGGACCACAGAGCAGGGTTTTGCCCCTGAGGCTGCCTTTGGATCAGCAGGCTTTGCCCAAGCAGGATACACTTGCTGTGCACTGCAGTGTGCCGTTGATGTTGCCCACCCTAGTGCTCAAAAAACATTTTCAATTGTCTCCAGGCCGATGTGGATGCCAATCCAGTCATAGAAGTACTGAGTGGAGATGTAGATTCCAGGACGCCTTGCTCTGGCGCAGCCTCTTCCCCAGCTGGTCACTCCAACAATCCAGAAGAAATCACTGTTTTTATCCTGGCACATGAGAGGACCACCACTGTCACCCTGCAGCAGAGCACAGAGGATTAAGGTGGTGTTGGGTGACATGTGCCAGCACTGGGGCTGTCTCCTTCTCTTGCACAGTCCATGCCTGAGCTGTACCCAGGCACTTGAGCCTCCAGAAGCTTGGCTGTGAATGGCATGGGATCCTAAAGGGTAGGGTTCTCTGTGTTGTCCCTGCACAGGACTCCTGGATGTGCAGAGGATGGATGTTTGGCACCTGGACCTCTGCGCTGCCAAGAGCACTAGCTGGACTTTCTGGGCTTTTGGCACAAGGGGAGTCCTGGGCAGGCAGGTGTGGATGGGGAGTGTGTGGGAAGCCCCCAGAGCAGTCCGGGGGGAGCTGGCTGGGCAAAGCAGGCCCTGGGGTGGGGTGTTGAGGCGGTGCTGCCCTGGCTGCCAGTGCTGTTGGGGGCTGAGTGGCTTGTGGCACACTCCTCCTACCTGGCAGGTGTCGATGTTGCCCTGTGGGTAGCCAGCACACAAGTTGTGGGTGTGGACTTCCCCTGCATACCAGCCACTGCTGTTGCAGAGCTGGACATCAATGAGCTGGACCTTGGCCTCCTGTAGGACATCACTTGACTTTGCAGCTGTGAGCAGAGAAAGGAATTATCCCCCTGTAGATCATTGCCAATTCTGCTCCACTGCTTTAGGGGATCCCCTTTCCTAGGGCATGGTTTTGCCTCTGCAGAGGCACTGGGGCAGAGGCACTGGGGTGCTGTGATCCTGCTGCCTGCCTCTGGGGAGCAGGCCAGGCCCATCTCTGCAGAGGTGTATGTCCATCAGCTTGGGTTTGGCCTCTGCTGTGGGGAAGCCCAAGCTGTCTCCCTAGTGTGCTGAGCTGGCTCTGGAGTCTCTCTTGAGAACTCACCTCTTGCAGCAGTAGAACCCCAACCAGCCACCCAGCAGTTCTGCAGCTCTGACAGGCTTAGGGCGGGGTCAGCCACACAGGCCAGCTGGACGTAGGGATTGCAGTCAACAGGCTTGCTCAGTTCTACCAAGGCAATGTCGTTACTTTTGTCACTTGGATTATAGTGTTCATGACGCACTAACTTCTTAATCCGTCGCAGTTGTGCTCCATGTCCTGGCTTAGTCAACTGGGTGGCCCCAATCACCAGATACACCATGCCAATTTTCCTGGAAAGTAGATGAAGAGAGGTCTGGGAGGGAGCAGAGCCACGTGCCACAGCAGCCCAGCAGTTGCCAGATCTCTGCTTGGGAAAGGCAGAGAGGGAGCAGCGCTCTGGCAGGTGTGAGTGCCTTAGCACACCTTAGGCTGAGGGAATGCCAAGCTGGAGGCTGCTAGGAAGCCTTGGCACAAGCCCAGGCTTCTCCTGAGCAGTGGGGCAGCCTGGCTGCCTGAGAGGAAAGGGAATGGGAGTAGCAGGTGATGCTGCTGACAGGGCACCTGTTGGTGTTGTAGAGATGTCCCCGTTTCTGGCATGTCTTTACCTGATGGGGTCAAAGCAGTGGGCTGCTGTGAGGACCCACTCTGCAGTGATGAGAGACCCTCCACAGAGGTGTCTTGTGCCTGGTATTGCAGGATGCTTAAGGCTGACGATCCAGGGCCAGGCTCCTGGCTTGGCATCTGCACCACCTACGACGCGTGTTGTGCCATCGTCATGATCCATGTACTCATAGTCATACACCATGGGTCGTAGCCCACATATCCCTCTGCAAACAGAAAGTGATTTCCATGCTGCTTCATGGCCTGCTGTGGCTCAGGCTGAAGCTCAGCCCTCTGCCCTCCCCACAAGGCCTTGCACGCACAGCAGGCCAGGGAAGCCCATGGGGTGTGCGTCTGTCCGTGCCAGCACCTGGTTGCTGGCAAGAAGCTGAGGCTTCCTGTGGTGGGGGGGAAGCTGTGGCCCGGCCATGGGGAAAGGCGGGTCCCCTCCAGGGAAGGCCGCAGGTGCTGCAGTGGCTCCCCCCCAGGGCCTGGGCCCACTTACCCGCAGTTGTCCCATGACCCGTGCATCATTCCAGCCATGGTCAGCAGGATGAGGAGGCCAAAGCAATTCATGGCTGCCAGAGGCATGTGTCAGCTGCAAGCACTGAGGGCTCCGTGCAGCAGCACAGCCACAGCCACAGTACCTGCAGCAGTCGTGCTGCCTGTGGGGCTCCAGGGCTGATGTCACAGTGATGGGGGTTCTGTGTTCTGGGTACTGTGTTTTTCTGTGGCACGGGACCGACTGCGGGAGGCACAACATGGAATTGGTGAGCCACAAAATGGTTTGGGTTGGAAGGGACCTTGGTGATCATTTGGCTCCAACACCCTTGCCTTGGGCAGGGAGGCATGGCCTTCACTAGAACCAGTTGTTTAGAGCCTGGTTCAGAAGCTGTCGTTGAACACTTTCAGGAATAGGACATCCACAGATGCTCTGGGCAACCCATGCCTTTGCCTCAGGACTGTCACAATCAAGATTTCCTTCCTTTGATCCTAGCTGAAGCTACCCTTATTGTAGCAAGACGTCCCCAGTGGGGGACTAATGAGCATTGACTCCATGATTCTGAGAAGGCTGATCAATTGCTTTATTATACTATACTGTTAGGAATATTAGTAATTCGTGAAGATAAATAGTATATAAAAATATATATGTGAACTGCAGAGAGAAAAAGGGGGGGGGGGAATCCCTTCGTTCCCTTTTAGGTTAAAAAATCCAACAGGATGACGAGATCACGAAGCCGCAGCAGATGGACATCTCAGTATTTGCATCCGAAAAGAACCCCAGCTGCACCAGGGAGGAACATTCATCAGCACCTACGCCCAAAAGACACCAGGTGCTGATGGCCCAGACAAGATGCCTATCTGTGGGGACCAGAACCATCAAACACATTGAATCTGAATGCCAGATTCCGCGAACCCGAGAAATGGACCATTCCACCCCCGACGAGGCTTTGTCCAGGGAAAGAAACCACCTTGAATATGAAGAACTCAGAAGGAAACAAAGACTTTCTGCCGCAGGCCAAATAAACTGTATAAAAACTGCTACCTTGCAAGCAGTAAGTGTGGACGGGGAAGTATAAGCACCAGTTGGTCCATTCTTCACGTTCACCCATATCACTTCCCGGGTGTGGTACGCTGTCCGTTTTGGTGGTGGCTGTCGAGACTGTTTTTATGGTCGCGGAATAAATTTTATTTTTCATATTTTTATTAAAATTGGCTAATTCGCATTTTTTATTTATAACATATACTATACTATTAAGAAAAACCCATTGCCCTTGCCAGACAAGGATTGGATCCTTGTGGATCCAATTGGTCAATGAATCCAAACCACCATCACCGGAGTGCAATTAAAAAATCACCCTCTGGTAAACAAATCTCCATAACACATTCCACATGGGCACAACAACAGGTGCAGCAACAGAAGATAATAATTGTTTCTCATTCTTTTATCTGAGCTTTCTCACAGCTCCTGACAGCTTCCCAGGAAAATCCTGGGAGAGAGCTATGTTTCTCGCTGTTCAGAGGATTACCACATACCCTCTGTCACTGTAAAGCCATTGGCCCTTGTCCTATTAGACCTTGCCCTTGTAAGAAGGTTCTCTGCTGCTTTCTTTAGGGCCCTCTTCTTGCAGGATGAGGCTCTGCAGTCCCTAGGGCAGGCAGCAGCTGAGGAATCCCTTTGGGGCAGGGAGCTGGGTGTGCAGCTGCAGCGCCAGCTGCAGATTGAGCTCTGGCTGGCAGGAGCCTGGGACCAGAGGCTGTGAACTGCCCACACTTTGCATAACAGAGAGCACAGGGAGCTGTGGCACTGGCCAGGGATTTGAAAGAACACAGCGTTGCAGCAGGAGCCAGGGGCTGTTTATGGAATGTGACTTCTGTGAGTCTGCTGGGGGAATCCTGAGGCTGGATGGGTATGGAAGACTGCTCTGACTGGGTGAGAGTGGCGTGGGTAGGGAATCAAACAGGACAACCATCAGCTTGTTGGAGTCACATGTGTCTCCAGAATGGTCACACAGGGAAGTTTCCTCAGTACTTTGGCAGCCCAGATGGGACCCAAGGGCACCACTGTCTTGGTGTTGCAGGTGGTGTTGGCCTACTCACCTTGGCCTTCTGTGGCATTCCTGGTGTACTTTCCTACAGTTCCTGCCAGGTTCCTCTCACCAGAATGACCCCAGCAGTTCCTCTGAGTATCTGTGAAGTGTGACCACTTGGCACATCAATCCCTCTTTGCTGCCTGTGAAATCTGGCTCTGCCTTAGGGCACTGACACTCCAGTCAGGAGCCAGGAGTTTCCCTTGTCATGTCTGGGAGTTTCCCAGATCTGTTCCCTTAGCCCAGGCTCACACCAGGCCCTAATTAGCAGCCCATGTGCATTTGAGCACCACCCCCAAGGTGTCAGCTTTTTTTCTATCCCTTTCCTAGGCTTGATGTACCAAGTTTCTCCAGCCCATGGTGGCTCATGACACTCTCCCTCTCTGACCAGGCATTCTGGTTGTGAGTAGCTCTTTGGAGTTGCTCTGTCCCTTTGTGTCTGGCACATCTGCCCTCAGACTCATTCTGCAGTTGCCAATTATGGCAGTCCCTACTTTGCCCAGGTATTGGTTCACTGACTTTGCCCAGGAGTTGGAATTCCACTGAAAAGATGGTTCCCTTTGACCACAGGCAACTTTACTTCAACACCTAAGTCATCTCCAGTATCTGCATGCACAGAAGAGAGGAGTGTGGTCAGGACAGAGTTTTGACCCTGAGGCTGCCTTTGGATCAGCAGGCATTGCCCAAGCAGGATACACTTGCTGTGCACTGCAATGTGCCCTGGATCCTGCCCACCCTGCTGTTCAGGAAGCACTTCCAAATGGGCTCAGCCCCATGTGGGCCAGGATCCAGTCATAGAAGTACTGAGGGGAGGTGTAGATTCCAGGCCTCATTGCTCTGCCACAGCCTTTTCCCCAGCTGGTCACTCCAACAACCCACCAGTGGTCAGCATTGTTGTCCTGGCACATGAGAGGACCACCGCTGTCACCCTGCAGCAGAGCACAGAGGATTAAGGTGGTGTTAGGTGGCCCCTGTCAGCACTAAGCTGTCTCCTTCTCTTTCACAGTCCATGCCTGAGCTGTACCCAGGCACTTGAGCCTCCAGAAGCTTGGCTGTGAATGGCATGGGATCCTAAAGGGTAGGGCTCTCTGTGTTGTCCCTGCACAGGACTCCTGGATGTGCAGAGGATGGATGTTTGGCACCTGGACCTCTGTGCTGCCAAGAGCACTAGCTGGGCTTTCTGGGCTTTTGGCACAAGGGGAGTCCTGGGCAGGCAGGTGTGGATGGGGAGTGTGTGGGAAGCCCCCAGAGCAGTCGGGGGGGAGCTGGGGCTGGGAGGGCGACTGAGTGGCCGGGCAAAGCAGGCCCTGGGGTGGGGTGTTGGGGCGGTGCTGCCCTGGCTGCCAGTGCTGTTGGGGGCTGAGTGGCTTGTGGCACACTCCTACCTGGCAGGTGTCGACATTACCCTGTGGGTAACCAGCACACACGTTGTGGGTGTGGATTTTCCCTGCATACCAGTCACTGCTGTTGCAGAGCTGGACATCAGTTAGCTGGACCTTGGCCTCCTGCAGGTGATCAACTGACTTTGGAGCTGTGAGCAGAGAAAGAAATTATCCCCCTGTAGCTCCTTGCTCTTCTCCTGAGCAGTGTGGCAGCCTGGCTGCCTGAGAGGAAAGGGAATGGGAGTTGTAGGTGGTGCTGCTGACAGGGCAACTGCTGGTGTTGTGGGGGTGTCCCTATTGCCTGCTCCTCCTTACTTGAGCTTGTCAAAGCAGTGGGCTGCCGTGAGGACCCACTCTGCACCGATGAGGGTCCCTCCACAGAAATGCTTTATGCCTGGTTTCCAGGGGAGCAGCCGCGCTGCCCGTGGTGCCCTTGGCCCTGGGGCTGATGTCATGGAGAGGTGGATTCCATGTTCCGGGCACTGTGGGGATCTGTGGCTCAGTGGTCATGGAGGGAGGAACAATATTGGCTCAAAGAACCGTAGAATGGTTTGGGGCACAAGGGATCTTGGAGATCTAGATCTGACCCCCCTGCCACTGGGAGAGAGGGATAGCTTGCACTAGGTGCTGTTGTCTAGCCCCTGGCTCAGAAACCTGTTCTCAAGCACTTTGAATGATGGGGCATCCGCAGCTGCTCTGGGCAACCCATGTGGGTGCCTCAGCAACCTGAGAGTCAGAAATTTCTTCCTAATATCTAATCTAAACCTACTCTCTCTCCTTTTGAAGCCTTTCCCTTTTGTAATTTCTTGTGTTGACCCTGAACAAATCATTACCTGCATTTCATATAGTGTAAATCTGTATTTAGTTTAATTATCTATTTTTGTAAACTGCATTAAAGCCTTTTCTCAGCAGCATATATGCCAATGCAAATTATTATTCTTACTGGAAATGTATTGTAAATTTTGGCTATTAATTGTTTAGCTGAATGTCTTTAGGAACTTTGCTTAAAATTATGCCAGATGTTTTTCAAAACATAGTTTTGTTTTCTGTAGCCATCCATATATGTAAAATGAATCATTAAAAATTAGGAACTACTGAACTTATAAAAAACACATGAAGGGCTATTGTGTAGGCAAAGTGTTAATATGAGTTTATCTGTACTCAAGACTGTCTTGAAATATTGGCTTATTTGCTGAGTATTCATTGCCTTATTTTATGCTTTTATTGGTATCTTCATAGTTCTTAACTTGACTTCTTCATGTACAGCAAACCAGGCAGGTTTGATATGACAGTCTTACACTGTTCACTATTCTCTAATGAGGAAAATTTTCATAATGTGATGAAAGTTTCACTAAAGAATGACAAACCATGTTGTTAATTTAATTTCTTGCATACTCTTTATTAATTCAGTTGACATTACTAGTGACTGTGCATGTTACAATTCTAAAACGTCATTAAATAGTTTTGTTTACAGGCTCTATAAGTTAGAGCATCTGCAAATCCACCAGCCTCTTGTCTCAACTTTTCCCACATTGTGACCTTGTTTTTGAAGAGTATCCTTCCTATTACTCCACATCATGTAATTCTATGTTTGTTCAGAAAAACAGGATTGAACAACTCTCTGCTGAATAGCCACAGGATTATTCATCTGCTTAAATTCAAGTCTAACCTGTGTATTGCCTGAGGAGCCACAGATTTGAAATGTACACAAAATGTTTCTGTAGTTGCCAAGGGCAAAATTACTGAGCCCTGATTACTTGTCCTGGCTACAGAGGAAAAGACCATAGATGGAGTTTCTAGCACTCTTTAATTCAATACTACCTACCTCATTGTGGGGCTGTGGTATCAGCAGGAAATCTGGAAGCAGAAAGCTCCTCATATTTTCACAGGCTCGTGGAAGAGGCTGGGACTGCATGGCTGCTCAGCACCCAGATAAAGCCACCATGGCCACTGTAGAGTCCCATTGCTGCTACCTCAGGTATGTTTTATATAAAATAAATTATTTATTATGACATATTATGAGATGAAAGATCTTAACCAATACAAAAGTTAAAACTACTAATAGTGTCTCATACAGGGTAATATAGTGCACTATATCAAAGAAATTATATTAAAACTAGCAAAAAGAAACAATGCCAGGCTCTCTCTCTTCAGGAAGTGTTCGTTCCATGCTGAATACCCTCTGTGGGTATTGCCTCTTTTGTGCCCTCTTTTATTGGTACTGCAGTACTGCATTTATTACAAGCTTTTCAGCAAAATTGTGATTCCTGCTAGTGTTTTGTCGCTTGTTGGAAGAGAGTGGAGGAGGAGATGCAATTCAGTGGGGTTAATTTTCCCGTTGCATTTTAAACCAGCACATCACTACAACAAAATAGAATAGCTGAAGACATTAAAAAGGTATCAGGGTAAATATAAGCCAGTTTATTTGCATATCTCACAAGAGATTTTCTGGCGTTTATAACTTGTTATAGTCTGTGCCTTTAGGACAATCCAGCTGGAGCCCATTTGGCATGAAACTTCTGTTAGTAAAAATTTGTTTAATCTTAGAAGGTATTTAAAGACACGTAGAAGACCTAGAACACAAACCAAACTTGCAGAATAACTTGGACTTTCTCAGTTATTTCTGCTTTTCTCAGTTATAGCTGCTTTTAGCTACATAAGACAGACATTGCTATCTATCACATAAAAGAGCCCTGTAAGAAAATAAGAAAGAGTTCTTATATACATATATATGTATGTGTGTGTGTGTATGTGTGTATGTATGTGTATATATACACATATAAAGGCTAGTCAAGCAAGAGCCATTAAAAAATTTGTCAAGTCTTATGCACAGGAGAATTTTTATTTCCTCAGGGTCCAGAGAACATCCCTCGGTGTTCTTCCCACACATTCTTTTTTCTCCTTACCTGAAGAGGAGGTTTTGGAGGCTGCAGGTCAGCTGTCAGCATTGTACTGATGTCACTCCACAGCAAATCTCAATCATCATAATTGCTGCTGTCACTCAGATGCTGCAGTGTCCAGAGAAGGAATAGAAATGGGTTGACATTAAATCTAAATAAAAGCTTTGTATTTGCAAGAGCAGTCAATACTGAAAGAAACCCTGTTCTCACTAACCATGTTTGCTATTCATCAAAGTAACATGGGGATTTTGGGCTGTGCTGGTTCAATATTACGTCTAGATGGTAAAATCCAGCTGAGGGAGTTAGGATTGTTAAGCCTGGAAAAAAAGGTGTTCAGGGATGATCTCACAGTTCTCTACAGCTGCTTGATAGGAGCTTGTGGATGGTGGGCGCTGGCACTTTTTTCCCAGGCAGCTAGCGACAGGACAAGATTAAATGGGCTCAAGCTGCGCCAGGGGAAGCTCAGGTCTGACGTTGAAGGAAACTCTCCACAGAAAGGGCGACTAAACACCGCAATGGCGCGCCCTGCAGGGCGGTGCCTTCAGCGCTCCTCCCTCAGCACCTCCCCCTCGGGCCCCGCCCTCCGGGGCGCATGCGCTGTGCGCGGGGCCGCGCCGGGCCGGAGGGACGCGGTCGAGCATTTCCGGGTTGGGTGGCGGCGGCTCTACCGGCAGCGGGAGTATGTCCTGCGCCCTCGTCCCCTTCGCCCACTTCCAGGACCTGGAGTTGGCCCGCGACTTCCTGAGCCCGCACCGCCGCCAGGGCATCGCCGCGGCTGGCAAGGAGAGCGGTGAGTCCGGCCCCCGGTGCGGGGCTGTGCCCGCCGCCCCGCGGGGCCCGTCCGGCCGAGGGGCTGTCCCTGCGAGCCCTGCGCTCTCTCGGCGCCGCGCTGCCACCCCCGGCCCGCGGGCGGGGGGCCGTGTTATCCGAGTGCTCGGGGTCGCCCATGTGGCGCAGGGTGGGTGTCTCGCCATAGCTGCCACATCTTCAAAGTCAGCTGTCACATCTGCAAAGTCAGGCTTTTCTGGCGTCCAGAAGTTTCAGGTGCGCAGCTGTTCGCAGGTGTCACTGCTTATTCCGTAGTGTGGAGGTGAAGTTCTTTGGCCGCTGACCCTGCGTGCCCCAAACTTTAAAAGTTTGTAGTTTTCTTGCTGGGAGTGTACCTGTCTGAAGACGCTCCCCTAAAGACGACACACGTTGTGCATGCAAGGTTACTTAGGAATGCAGAACGTGCTGAAAGTGTATAAAAGGTTTAGCTTGACAGATTAAATTAAAAGGCAACGAATCTTAAAGCAGATACGGTCTGAAGTTGTGGACCGTGTTTCTGCTGTGTGAGGCAGTGCAGGCTGAGCTGCCTGACACAGAAGCTGCATTCTCAACAGATCCATGCCCACGCTAGAACCCAGAGTGAGTTAAAATACTGTTTCTTGTATCTGTTATTGCATGCTGTATTAACTGTACACTGTGTGTGTGTGTGTGTAGATGTAAACCCCCCAAAATATACAAACTCTATCTGGCTGATGTTTTTTGATTTCTGACAACAGTAGGGAAGGAAAGTGTCTGAAGAGGTTAATGAGGATGCTTGTAAAAAATCCTCACAGCTGTGGACAGAGCTTTAAGAGAAAACATCGAGGTGCTTATTTTAAAAGTCTAAAATGCCTGTGGGGAGTTACAAGAGGGGAGATCATAAGATGGTTTGTGTTTGAACTGACCTTTACAGTTAATCTAGTTCAACCCCCCTGCCATGGGCAGGGACACTTTTCACCAGACCAGGCTGCTCAAAGCCCTATCCAGCCTGTCTTTGAACACTTCCAGAGATGGGGCATCCACAGCTTCTCTGAGCAACCTGTTCTAGTGCCTCATGTTCTTTATTATTAAAAAATAAATCTTCCTAATATACAGTATAAATCCATTCCCTGTTTAAAGCCATTGGTCCTTATCCTGTAACTACAGGTCTTGTTAAAAAAATGACACAACACTTGTTAAGAACCTTTAAAAGTACATTACATGTTCAGCTAGTTGATTTTGCCACTAAAATTTCTGTGTGCAAAACTTTTGGTAGAAAACAGTTTTCTGCTGCTGCTTGTTTTGTAATTCTTAACAGATTTTGAAAAATGCATAACAAGTTCCAGATGGCTTTTCTTTGGTATCATCTGTATCTTAAGGAGGGATTGTGGAAGCAGAAGGCTTCGGTTACTATCTCTTGAATTCTGAAGATAAAAGCAAAGGATTGGAATGTGTTTGTGTTTCTAAAAGTAGGTGTTGAAAGAAATTAAGAAATTATTTTTCTCTTACTTGATGATACATGAGAGGTGTTTGTGTGAAATAACTTGGATATTTTATTGGAGTGGCTTTATCAAATAGCAGCCATAAAGAGAAAATGTTTAGTATGTTGTAAAACTACCAGAATAATAGAAGCAAAGAAATGCATGGCTGCTGTTCAATTTTAATGGGTTGGCTGTCTTCTGGACTATTTTTATATTTGCTTATTCAGTCATTGAGGCAGAAGTGAGTGTTTTTCAAAATAATGCTCATTTAGATTCATTGAAATCTTTTGGATTTGTGCCTGTAGTTTTTTGCTACCACAGCTGTTTTCATGGTTGATTATAAATAAGTATAAATGTCAGCAAGTGAGAGTTCCCAGAGTGGTTTAGACATAAGATTGTAACTTAGTGATTTTTGAAGCAGAAATTCTTGATGCATTTGTGTTTGATAAGGGAGAAGTGCTGCTCCAACTTGCCTAGGTATCTTAAATTAGAAGTGAGTAAATTGTGGTTTTTTATCAGGGAATACTTTGCTAAAAGCTCTTGTGTTGACAGAATCTACTGTTTTAAAACAGTAATTTAATAAGGTTGTATGTTTAAAAACTTGCATTTTAATCTGTTTTTATATTTTTACTCTACAGGGAAAAAAGAAAATCCAGGGTTTTTTTGCTAGTAAGTTCAATAAAGGTGTTAATTTGCTTTCAAATCAAACTTTAGTTTTCAACTTAAACTGTGTTTATTTTTATGCAAACAATTCTATAAATACTAGCAAACATCTGTCAAAACTCTTAAGTATTTTTTTTTTTACCTGAGGATGAGAACCTTTCTTCTGCTTTCTTTTTTTTCAAACCTAAGCTTCATTTGTGTGAAAACTCTTGCTAGTATATTAAGGTTGTAGTTACAAATGATGGCTACCTTAGGGAAATAAATATATATTAAATATTTTAATTTAACAAAGCACATTTTAGTTAACAAATTATTTTAGTCATAACTTAATGTTTCAAGTGTTGAGTAGAATTTTCAAGAATTCCTGTCAGGTTTTGGATAACAAATGTTTTTGAACAGGTGCCTCTGGAATGCTCAGTGTGTGAGGTTTAGGGTTTTTAGTGGAGGCTGTAGGCCTTGTCTTTTTTTTTTTTTTTTTTGTTTCTTAGTTATAGGGCAAGGAAGTTTTTAATGCTGTTTTAGCTTTGGCCATATTTTAGGTCTAACAGAACTAACCAAAGTATTTTCTGTGAGTGTATTTGCTGCAATAAAATTTAGGGTTATTATGGTAAAAGCATTTTTGCAGTAACATTTTAAATGAAGAGAATTTGCTTGCTTCAGAAAGTGCAGGCAGTGTACATTTCTAAATCATGATGTGATACTGTGACTTTAGTCCAGTTTTGAAGTTAGATGTCTTTAATTTGAGTAAAAACCCTGTAACTTGTCATCTTGTATTTAAAACTGTATACTTTGTTTATATAAAAGTTTATCTAGATTGTCAATTTCAAATTTAACTTGAAAGACTTAGCAAAGTGTGGATTATATTAAAAGCACAGATGTAGGTAAGTAAAAAAAAACAACTGGATTTTTATTCCAAGGGGACTTGATTTTTTCCCCCTTTCTTTGTACAGGTAAGCATTTAAACGCATTCTACAGTAGAACAAGATGAAGGAAAGCATCCTATCAACCACAGCTTCAGTTTCTCTTGTAGCCCAACAGATTGTCTTGTTTGTGCAAAGGATACACTTGTCTGGTAAACTGGGAGGAAAAGAAAGCTTCCTCCTCCTCTGAGCTTTGTGTGAAGTCGCTGCTGCAGGTGCCTGTTTGCTGCTCACTCAGTAAACACTGGAAGAAAGGGTTCATGTGCTTGTGTTATGCAGTCATCTGTTAAAATTGCCACTGATGCCATGCTGGAATAATGTAAGAAATGTTCATAGACTGCTTGAGCTGACCATTGATCTGCCATGAAGGAAAATGCAGCTACTTTTTATTGTCACTATTGGAAGGGAATAACAGGTGTTGGCTCACGTGCTTTAAGTAAATACACCTGGTGTTACAGAGGGAGCTGGTTAAAGATGCTTCATATGGAGTTGTTCTGTCTTTATTCTTTAGGAAAATTCAGGTTGGAGTGCTTTTTCATATTTTAATGAGGAGGACTTAAAGAAGCATAAGAATTTAAAAATCTTGAGAAGAGTAATGCTGCTAATGAGACACAAATCCTCTGTGGAGCCTGAGCCTAGTGGTGTCTAAGTGGCTCTGAAAACTGCTGTTCTAACTGTGCAAGTACTGGGAATAGGAAATGTTTGCACCACATTTAATTTGATATCTTGCTGTGTTGAAGATGTTTTGGGCTGCTGTTGGCTGGACCGGGAAACAGCTGTAACAGTTAACTTTCTTATAAACCTGTCTAAAATAAAGGCATGCACATGAAGGAAAATATCCATCTTACTCGCAGTATGTGACAAAGCTTTGCAGACGTGATGGAATTTTAGCATTCAGAAATTAATTAATGGATGCTTAGCCGAACAGAGCAGAAAGTAGAGCAAGACAGATAAAATTTCCTAGAATCTTTATAAATTGAAGAATTTAATTACAATTTAGAGCAATGTGTGTTTCTGTTCCTCTAGTACATTCACAACTCAAACTGTGTTTTAAGACGTTTTATAGGCTTGATGACATCAATTCAGTAGCATAGCCAGGTACGACTGCTGCTAGATGAACTGGGGGGGTGTTAAGATGAATCTGAAAAATTAGTACTTTCTTGATGTGAAGATATTTTTAGTTCCCAGGTGTGTTTATCTCTTGTTACCTAAATGAAATGAATAAGGAAAAAAGCCAACAAACCCAAACTTGACCTTGAGAGTTCCCAGGCAATGATATCTCCATTTATGATAGTTTGTTCTTATTCAGGGGAAGAAAAAAATTGATCCCCTGACCTGAGGGTTTCCTCAGAGCTACAAGGTATCACTTTGCTTCTTTTTGCAGTGGAAGTGATGGCTTAAGCATGTCAGAGAAATTCCTTTCCAAAATCCTGCCTTCTTACATTGACAGCAGCCTAAAAAGTGCTCTTCAGCCCAGTTCCTTTAAACAACATCTTTGGACTTGTACACTTTGCTTTATCTGGATCAGCTGATTTAGTTCAGAAATACAGAAGGCCAGGCTTTTTATTTCAGAGTTGCCAACAAGGTTACGAAGAAAAAAATACATTACTAAATGAAATTCTAGATTGCATTT